TATAAGTACTAAATAAAATTAAATGATCGTCTGATGATTGATACATCTTGACAAATTGTTAAAGGATGTAAAAAATATACAATCAAGTAATAGTTCACCTGAAATGATAATCCAATTCATGCATACGGGCATACGAAGCCTGCAGGAGCCACTATACATCGTTGCGTAGTCGCATCAAATATTAACTTGTTAGGACACTTCATATTTTTGTACATTTTCAGCTCCGTTCCGTCGTAGTAGCAATAGTAGTACTTGTTGCATAATTTGGCACTCGTATTTGGGAATCTGCCCGGTCGCGTACATGTAAACGTTGGTTTCTTAGTTGTCGTTGTTGACGGAGTAGTTGTCGTTGTTGACGGAGTAGTTGTCGTTGTTGACGGAGTAGTCGTCGTTGTGGACGGAGTAGTTGTCGTTGTTGGTGACGGAGTAGTCGTCGTTGGTGACGGAGTAGTCGTCGTCGTTGGTGACAGAGTAGTTGTCGTTGGAGACGGAGTACTTGTCGTTGTGGACGGAGTAGTTGTTGTGGACGGAGTAGTTGTCGTTGGTGACGGAGTAGTTGTCGTCGTTGCTGACAGAGTAGTTGGCGTTGCTGACAGAGTAGTCGGCGTTGCTGGAGGATTTACAGATTGCTGAACCGAGCCAGATATGAAGACGAAAATTAAAAGAATTACGAATATTGCCGCGAACGCCTTCATGTTCCTCTATTACTTCTGTTTTCTGTTATTTTCACTTGCACACTCACTACACCTTCCACGTCTTCACTGTTAGTTTCTTACAGTGTTGATGGTTCCAGTTTCTTGTTCAATATGATTTTTAATAGCCTCGTGAATCAAATATAAGAACTTTGTCGAATTTATTGTTTTATTCCTTTACGAGATAATTGCAGAGCAATTAACTCTGGTTTATGAGCAAGTAATACGTATTATAACTCCCGTAATCATGTTTAAGCCATTAAATCTCATTTTTAAGGTTTTTCTCGCAATTATAAGTGGGAGCTGCTGCAATTTTTGTGGAATGTTCTGTAGAATACATTTTAAAGACATCTAAATATGTAAAATTATGTGCAATACACATAATATCCGAAATATTCCAAGAAAACTATAATTAGAATATAAAGACATTTGCGAATAAAATTAAAATATTTTCAGCACTTTCTATACGTGTAGTAAGTAAGTTGCATTCAATTAAGGTCAGGCGGTTGTTCAATGTCACAAGAAAAAGATTTAATGACGTGAAGCGAAGTGTTTCGTTACCGCGGGTTAGGCTTCTTAACGATCACGATCTCTTCCGCGGCGAACACGCAACACAATAGGATATTGTTTTCCCACAATCTTCCGGTAAAAGTTCTCGCACGCCATTAAAATAGTTAACAAGTGCTTTAAAACTCTATTCAATGGAAACGAAGACAATCGTCACGTTTGTAGAGTACAAATAATTTGAATAAAATTTTATCAAACACTCACAGAATTATCTGTTTAAGAACGACTGTTTAAGATGGCAAATAAAAATTTCGCAATATTATTTGACAATTCATCTTTCTTACTCAACAACCTTTTTTCACTGAACACGTTTCGTCACTTTCAATTATTCCGCACAATTGAATGCCAATTGCGACCAGAAAGAAAAGTTAGCTATTTTATATTCAGACGCTGCGACAAATGCAAATTAGCTTGTATTCCGGTTTGACAATGTTTTAAAAGTACTTTCCCGATTATACGGTGAAAGGGGATTTTGATCACGTTGTCTCAACGATTGAAAAGCATTTTACCACAGTTTCGTGACTGAAATCCAAGATTATGCTACGCGATTTCATTGTGTTTCAATCGTAACAAAAGTAACACCATCGTTTCTTACGTAAAATTGAAATACCAATCAGAAATTTTGTTTAAAAATGCTTGCAATAAATTGTAACTACTAAATTTTTTGTACAAATTTGAAATTTCTACAGGCTTGTGA